AGGGAAAGGGAGAGAAAAGGAAAATTGCATGGAAATGGAAGGAGACCCTCATTGTTATACAAAATTACATATAAGAGGTTGTGAGGGGAATGGGAAAATAAACAAGGAGAGAAATGAATTACAGTAGATGGGGTAGAGACAGAAGATGGGAGGGGGATAGTAGAGGATAGGAAAGGTAGCAGAAAAAAAATTTGCACATTAAAAATCAAAACAATTTCATATTGTATTGTTTGCAATGCTTTTACAGATCCCCTGTGCCTGCTTAGTAGCTCTGTTTTCTAATTTTTGAGTTATCAGTTCAAGTACTATTTCCAAAAAACAATGATATAAACTCTATATAAATAAAGATACTAGCCATTTATCTATTTTATTTATGTAGATATTCCTCAAAGTTACATTTCAATTAAAAATATAGCCTTCTTGATTTTTAGAAACTTAGGAAGTGCCAAAAAATATAAAGAAGCTATGAAAACAATTATCAAAAGTCTCACAACTCACAAATACCCTAGAATATTTTGGTGAATATAACTCAAACTATCTCTTCTAAAAATATATGCTTTAAGCTGCCTGCCTTTCTTTCTTTCTTTCTTTCTTTCTTTCTTTCTTTCTTTCTTTCTTTCTTTCTTTCTTTCTCTTTCTTTCTTTTTTTATTCCTTGATACCACTTGATTTTATATATTAGGGATCACACTATACATGTGATTTTGTGCCCTAATTTTTTTCACCCAATAATATGTTGCAGAAAGCTTTCCATGCCAATGAATATAGCTATAGATCAGAAGAAAGTAAACCTATTTATAAAGGGAAAAATATTAAATGTTTCAGGCCTCTGGTCCATTCAAACTCTATTGCAACTACTTAACTTTGCCCTCGTATTATGAAAGCAACCATGACAGCTATTACATAAATAAATTCATGTAGAAACAGTGCATAAATCAATTGGTATAGCTGCATTCTAATAAAACTTTATTTAAAAAAAGAAGCAGTGGACTGAATTTAGCCTGTGAGGCATAGTTTGCCAATCTCTAGTGTATATTATGCTATGAAATAGCTGCCTAGAAATCCATTTCATGGATATATAATAAACTAAACCCTAACTGAAGAAATTTAAGTTCTTCCTCAGTTTTCATTATATTTTAAAGAGTATAATTACATATAAAAACAGTTTGATAAAATTTTTTGATTCTACCCTGAAATAGCTAAGATCCTAAACTTGAACCAAAGACTCTACTCATTTTATATTTGGGAATATTTGGCTAAACTTCTTTCCTGAAAAACTGTACAATTTGTATTCTTGTACCCAGTGTATGATAGACAGTAGTTA